ACCTGCTCATGGGTAAGTTCCTTGCCTATCATTTCTTTGCACTTCCCAGATGACACAAGGATGTTAAGTTGTTCCTTAAGGTTACTTTCGTCTAGCTGTGCGGGGACTTCATCTATCAACTGCTCAATCTCCATATATATTCTACGCTCGAAGCTCACGTAGCGAGACTTTAAAGATCTGCGATCTTTATGGAATACGGAAACCTCAAAGAGAAGATCATCTTGGAATGTTGGTGCGTCTTTAGATGCCGCATGTATTCGTGTAACTGTTCCTTGGATATTTCACCGCCGTAGTCGCTTAAAATGGTTTCAAGATCACTCTTACTTGGAGTATAAAATACGACGAGTGAGCCTATGTTTTCCCTGAAGGGCTTAGAGACGCTGGTAAGCTGCTGCGAGAGCAACCAAACGCTAATGTTGTCATGCCTGCCGCTAAAGGCGAGTTTAACAAGCTCCGACGTGCGTCTTTTTACGTCGTCCCCGCAGGCGATGTCATCCAGTATGAGCAAGGTTTGCGTATCCTTCGGGAATTGCCTATGCCAGAACTTAAGATGTCCAGATAACTCGTTAGGGTCCAATATGTCCACAAAGAAGTCATCATCTTTTACGCCCACGCCCGTCCAGGTGCGGTTATTCACGTAGGTGGGACAAAGCAGCACGATATAGTCGAAACGGTATCTAAAGGGTCCTAATAGCTGCTCTACTATGAATTGGGTCTTTCCGCAGCCGGTAGGACCTACTATCAGCGCATTACAAGGCATGTGATCTGGGTTCATTTATATCCCTTCTATCGAAGGGAACTTGCTCCCTGATATATATGGAGCCCGTGGAAGCAGTCAAAGCAATGGTTAACATCGTCAAAGAAAAGTCAGATCTGGAGAGGACGGTCGAAATGCAAAGGGAGGAGATAGACCGGCTGCATGAACGCGTAAAGGAGCTTTATGAGGAAATGTGCGGTCTGAAGCGCGCAGAACGGTTTGGTGCGCTGATAACGATGGCAACGTGGGCTAAGGAGTCCGTCGTGGACTTCATGAAGTATCCCCTATGAGGTTTATTAAATTCTTATTATATATGGAGTGCATGCACTGTAACAAGGAGTTCAGCAGCAAGCAAATGTTAGAATACCACGTCGAAAAGAAGGTCTGTAGGAAGCCGCGGGAGAAGCGCTGCGAACACTGCGGTCGGCCGTTCAGCAGCAAGCAGATGTTGACTTACCACCTGGAGAACAGGGTGTGTCTGAAGAATGTATATGAGCGCTGCGAGGAAGATAAAGATGAGGATTGGCATCGTTTCCGCTGTTTGACGAGTTACGATCTAAATGGAGTGGCGTGTGAATTACACGGCGACGTTGCGGCGCGCTGCTGCCCCAAAGAAACGAAGATTGAGTTGATACGTCGTAAAAAGAAGATAGACAACCGCTTCGCTATGTTCGACCGCGTTGAAGGTGTGCGCTGGGAAGACAGGGAATATTGGGAGGCGGATTGTCCAAAGTGTGGTTGTAACAGGAGTTACCAGCACATTTGGCAGTGTCTGTACGTGCACGCAGAGGCCCCCAAAACATTCAAAGAATATGCTGATCAGCTTGAAAGAAGGCGCGCTAAAAACGAGGAAGAGAAAAGATCCAGGGTAGGCTGATACATACATACAAGACGATCTGGAAAGTTTTTGAAGAATCTTTCTTATTATTATTAAATTATTATTAAGGGGTAATAATAATTAGATATTCCTTAGGAATACTTCCGATTTCCCTTTGTACCTATGTACCATACCCCCCTGAGGTAGAGCAATTTAAGGGGCATTTGAGCCTAAATGAGGAGAAAATGCCATACCCCCCTGATACATACCTACAAGACGATTTGGAAAGTTTTTTGAGAATCTTTCTTATTATTATTGAATTGTTATTAAGAGGCCTTAATAAATAATGAATGATAATAAGAGACATCCTAGAATAGTTTCCGGGGCATTTAATAAATAATAAATAATAATTAAGAATCTCCTTGAAATACTTCCGATTTCCCTTTGTACCTATGTACCATACCCCCCTGATGCATGAACATCCCCTTCAATGATAAGAGAGTACCATACCCCCTGATACATACATACAAGACAATTTGGAAAGTTTTTGAAGAATCTTCTTTATTATTATTAGCCGCTCTTAATAAATAATAATAAGAGACATCCTAAAATAGTTTCCGAAATCGCTTTGTACCTATGTACCAGGGGTGGTTTCCGACCTTCCTTAACAAGATAACCAGCATTTAACATTCTGGGATGGATATATCAGCATTCCTTGGAGGATTACTAATTACCCTTTCAATATATGGACTGTATATTACATGCGAACCCCCCGCTGACTGTATTAAAAAAGAGTCGCCGACCCTCATTGTCGACGACCCTATTTCGAATGCGTCTAACCACATAGAGGCGAAGGAAGGACGCACTTTGCGACGTCAAAGGCCCAGCGGCCATCCTTCTTACCATACGACCTCAGATGCGTRAACTCCTGTCCTTCGATGACGTAACGAACGCGATCTGGCGCCCACAGGCTGTACGTGACACCCTCATGCGCCAATAATAACCGTAGCCTGTCAATATCTTCGAAGGCTACATAATTTTTTATTTCGTAGGTAACGCCCTCCTTTAAATCTCGCCAGTGTATCTGCCTTACCGCGTTAAACGTCATATATTCTATGGAATATCTTTAAATGCGTCCTTAGAGTCTGCGCGCTTTTAAAGCGCTTGCAGCACCACCTACATGGTAAACGCATTCCTTGTGCATACTCTGTGATGGCTCTGCCGATGTCGTCATAATCGTTGCTGATCATTACTTTATAACCATTCTGCTCATACCGCTGCAGCAGCAGGCGCTGATCCTCAGATAATACCCCGTTGCCTTTAGGAGTCTTCAGTTCTATGCAGAAACCACGGTATCGCACGTGTGCATTCAAGATGAGTAGGTCGGGCTGACCGCGTTGATATCCTTTCTGCCAGCACTTTATACGTTTGCCGTCGGAGTCCTGCAGTTCGCTTAGACCAGGGGTCACGAGCATTTGGGGGTAAAACCTGCGAATGTAGTCTACGACTTTCTTATGTAGGTCGAATTCATTCTCTATTTTGAATACCAGCTTGTTAGGACTGTTAAAGCGCCGCTCTATTTCATACTTGCCAGCTTTACGCAGCGCGGGTAGGACTTCCTCAAAGACCCAATCCTGAAACTTTACGGCTTTTGGCAGCCTGGAGCTGAATATCAATTGATACAGACCAGGCTCGGAGATAAACACGGAATGCGGGTGAATAGTAGAATGGGAACGACTTGGGACCCCTTGCATGTCGACCCATCTTTTCTGGTATTTCTCAGAAATGTGGTCTCTAATGGCCTTTTTAATTGGTGTTCTCATAGCCCAACGCCAACGCCACTTCCTTCGCCTTAAAGTACAGTTCGTTGCCTTGCACTATGCATTGCAGTTTGGTGTTGTTGTTTTCGAAGACGCGTAACATGGTATATCTGAGAAATATTTTAACTTTTTGAATGGCTGAGGAACGAAGTCATTAATACGCAACGCTCTTTAGCTGATTCATTTCTACGCTTAGCTGCGCGTCAGACACGACGAAGACGTAGCAGTTTATCTTGTCGCCGTCGCCCGCGGAGGAATTCTTTGTGCGTTTGATCTCCAAAGTGATACCGTCTTGAGTGTTGACCAGCCGCAGACCCTGACCGTGCATGGTTTCATCGTTGATGGTGCGCATGTCAATCCACAGAGCGTACTTATCATTAAAGAATTCCTCAGGGCTAATTTGGTCGCCAAACTTACGCATTGCCTGCCTGTACACGTCTGCGGGCTTTATCCCCTGGGAGTAGACCTTGTTTGGGACCCCGTTTATGTTTACCCCCACGTTAGTAATGTTGGGGTTGTGAAAGGCTTCGGAGTTGCGCTTACCAGCCTCGTAGGGTTTGGCAAACACCAACATCAACCCCGTGAGACTTCTTCGBGGGAGGTTAATGCTTTGATTGATAACCTCATCCGTCTTATCCAGGAAGCTAAATGTCTTGTACATCACTACGTGGTCGTAAAGGAATGCCTTTCCGGCGCTATATTCCATACCGGCGCTACGGGCCAGCTCTTCGCTGTACACGGTCTCGTACTGTAGCTCTAAGTTGGTAACAGAATAGGGATGAATACTTCCGGTAAGTGCTGTCCCAGATGCGTCCATCTCTAGGATATTAGTAGTGTCTGCTAAGGTTACTTCAAACTGTAGTTCACTTAACTGCCTGGGGTAGTACGCACCATGGTTCGTGATTACTTCAAAGTCCAGTGGTATGACATACTTAATACCATAAGCCGTCTTTATTCGCTTTGCGTCTGC